TTTAACGAGTGTACATAGATATTTTTGTAGAAAAATCAAGAAACTCATTCTCCCTATATAAATTTTGTGCACCGTAGATAGAAATAAGTACATTTAGTGGCTTACGAATAGATGGAGTTGATACCGTTCTTCTACAAATAGTCTATAGGATTCGGTGTTTGTAAAACGAAAAATAAAATCAGAATTTGGATCATGGGTTCAACAACACTGTACCCATGATCCAGAATACATAAATGTATCTAATAACTATGTTGTACATGAATGTACCTCTGTATGTTCTATCAATAACACTCCACCTCGCATACCACTGTCTCTCAAATTTTATACACTGGACTTTTATTTGAAATCTTAACCATGATTGAATAATATATAAAAAAATTTAAGTAATTTTGATCATTATTTAAACTTGAAAACAATTTTATAACATTAATAACACAAACATATATCCATAAATAATCAAAATCTAACTTATTCATCATCCACTCTAGCAATAAAATCATTTATTCAAGCATATAAATCATGTAATATTCATATCAAATGGTAGAGAATTTGATATAGATCATTTTTCTATTTTAAAACTTATTTCAAAAATCAAAGTAAAAAAGGACTAAAATGAAGAGAAAAAAAGGAAGAAAATATATCTTACTTATTTTTATCTATGGTGCACGAAATTTATAGAGAGAAAAAGTAGTTTTCTTGATTTTTCTACAAAAATATCAATGTACACTTGTTAAATTCTAATTAAAATTAATTTTAGTCCAAAAATCATTTCTACCCTTAATGAATCTTGATATTTATTATTTTTCCATGCTTTCATCATCATTCGTACATCATCATATAAATATCAACATTTATTTGATTAATTTTTTATCTTAGCCCTTGCACTTTTCCAAAATTTCAATTAGTCACTTAATTTCCATTATTCAGCTTTAACATGGAAAATCCACTTAATCTCACTATTTCATGTTAAATTCTAATGATTAAAATTATAAATATAATATTTCAAACCCCATACTACCATTATTCAAATTTTTGTAAACTTTCGATTCGATTGATTATCCGAATACTTTACCAAACTTTATCGCTTAGTAGCTCTTTACACAAATTTCATATCGAAATGTGAATTTCATAAAGAATCTATTCTTAAAGATGAACTATTTATTTACATAATACATTTCATTTTGGAATAATTACCTTTTTGGTCTTTGAATTTTTCTAATTTTCTACTTTGGCTACTAATCTTTTAAAAATTGAGTTTTAGTTATTAATCAAATTTTTTGGATATTACAGTAATAAATTAAGCTCAAGCTTAGAGTTAACGGTAGAGTAAATAAAATGATTCAATCTATAAAATACAGTAAGTAAAATAGGAGATAACTAGGGACCATGTAATTTATCTTTAAAAAAATTGATTATAGTTTAGATGGGCTCAATATCAGTTGTTTTATTGACATATGCATAACCCATAAGCTGAGCATCAGATTAGCCCATTCATTGATGAAATAGAGTTGTTTCTCTATCCAAACAACCCGAAGCCAACCATGTTTTCTTAACACATCCACACTCCTCAAAACCCTAGCTGCTGCTTGGTGCTCACTTTATAGCATTCTACATTTTCCCACCTCACCTTTCTCACACAACCTAAACCCTAACAATGGCAGCCGCCGCCGCCCGACCTCTGGTTTCGGTTCAAACCATAGAATCCGACATGGCTACCGACGCTACCCCTACTGTCCCTCTCGCTGATGTCATGAAAGCCTCGATCCGACCCGACATCGTCACCTTCGTCCATGACAACATCTCCAAGAACCGCCGCCAACCCTACGCCGTCTCCAAGCGTGCTGGTCACCAAACCTCTGCTGAATCCTGGGGTACCGGACGTGCCGTCTCGCGTATCCCTCGTGTTCCTGGTGGCGGTACTCACCGTGCCGGCCAAGGTGCTTTCGGAAACATGTGTCGTGGTGGCCGCATTTTTGCTCCTACTAAGATCTGGCGCCGCTGGCACCGGAAAATCAACGTTAACCAGAAGAGGTACGCCGTGGCCTCCGCCATCGCTGCCTCCGCTATTCCTTCTCTCGTATTGCACGTGGTCACCGCATTGAAGCTGTTCCTGAGATGCCTCTGGTCATATCGGACGCTGTGGAGAGCGTGGAGAAGACCTCGGCTGCAATTAAGGTTTTGAAGCAGGTCGGAGCATATCCGGATGTGGAAAAGTTCAAGGATAGCCAAGGGATCCGACCCGGAAAAGGGAAAATGAGGAACCGGAGGTACATTTCCCGTAAAGGTCCATTGATTGTTTACGGAACTGAAGGGGCAAAGCTCGTTAAAGCCTTAAGAAACATTCCTGGTGTCGAGGTTGTCAATGTGGAGAGGCTTAATCTGTTGAAACTCGCTCCTGGTGGACACCTTGGAAGGTTCATTGTTTGGACCAATCTTCTTACGAGAAGCTTGACTCGATTTACGGATCATTTGATAAGACTTCAGAGAAGAAGAAAGGGTACGTTTTGCCTCGCTCTAAAATGGTGAATGCTGACCTTGGTAGGATAATTAACTCTGATGAGGTTCAGTCGGTCGTTAAGCCGATCAAGAAGGAGGTCAAGAGGGCACCAATGAAGAAGAATCCACTCAAAAACTTGAATGTTATGCTGAAGCTGAACCCTTATGCGAAGACTGCTAGAAGGATGTCTCTTTTGGCTGAGGCACAACGTGTTAAGGCTAAGAAGGAGAAGCTTGACAAGAAGAGGAAGCCTATTTCTAAGGTATACAGATTCTGTTTCCGACATGCTTTTCAATTTCTTAATATTGATAATTGCACTTTTCTGTGTTAGGCTGATGCATTATAGAATTATATTTAATGCTTAATGTCATTGGATGCTTTGTTTGCTTGTCTTGAGTTTGATTTATATGTCCAATGGAACCATTTTTGCTTTTTACTGCCTAGTATGCCTTTGATTGACTGATGTACTTTACGATAAGGTGCTATTGCTGCTGCAACTCTGTTTAAAATCATGCTTCGAAAGTTGAAACTATTCATATGATGGGCATATATTGCATGCATTTGGTGGTGGATGATTATTCTGCGTGCTGTGCAGAAGTTCTTTAGTCGCCTCTTTGATTGACTGATTGTTCTGCATTTGGTGTACATGTTTATCATTTGTTGTGGTTTGGTTGAGAGAATGGTAGGCAGTGAGAGGACTCTTATTTTGTGCAACTTGTTTATTTGACGCACATTGCTCGTAATTCTTATGCTACATGAGTATTATGCATTGATTTTTCCACCTTATGTTGAGCATGACTTTGGGCTCGATACGAGCTGTGTGGTTTTGAGTCATGTGTCCCTGCATCATCTCCTTCTCCATGTTATATTTTCATGTGATTTTGGCCGGATAATGGAAGTGGTTGGAGTCTTAGTTTTTTTCTATTTGTTTACCTGATTTGAGCCATTTCAGTTGGTCGTAGGCTAGATGAGTACTAGGCACTGTTTTTGCACCTTATGTTGAGCGTGAGTTGAGGCTCAACGTGAATTAAAATGGGCACCCTTTGGTAATCTTGCTCACTAGAGTCGTATTGGTGGTTTTCAAATTATGAAGCCAAATGTTTGCATCTTTCTAAGATTCATGTTGGTTCCTGCATTAGTTTACATTCTCGGGCGAGATTGATCTTTTCTCAATTTCCATGCTGGTTTATTGACCCCATTTTTCTTCCTTTTGCCTCGTCTCGTACCTTTCAGGAGGAAGCGTCGGCAATCAAGTCGGCCGGCAAAGCATGGTATCAAACCATGATCTCCGACAGTGATTACACCGAGTTTGAGAACTTCTCTAAGTGGTTGGGCGTGTCTCAGTGAATTTAGTCTTCTGCTTTAGACGAGTGATTGTTCAGTTTTGTTTTGGTGGTGGCATTTCTATTTCCTTTTGATTATTTATTTTAAACGAGAACAAAGCATGAAATACTTAACAAGACTGGTTGGTCAGATGAATATTATTGAAATGTTCATCGTTTAGTCTTTATTTGGGATCAAATTTTGAGTCGGATCCTAAATTCAGATGGAATGACGAGTACAAAGTATAATCATATGCATTAAAGAAAGTATGAAAACTTGGACTTATGAAAACAGAACACCCAACTCATAATATCACATAAATCACCGCAAACTAACAAGTTACGGTCAGCTCTCCTTAATTATTTTCTTAATCCTTTAATTAGTTAATTAAATTTTGAACCGCATAATTTCCCCGAAATTCAAAAATAAATTAATTTCCATTTTCTCCTCTCTCTCGTCTCTCCTCCAATTCTCCATCTCCATAATCAAATTCTTTGATTCGATTTGTTAATTTTAAATCTTCATTTAAAAAAATATATGTGTGATTATGAGTTACAGAGCGATTTCGATATCAAAGGATTGTGCCTAATCGACGTGACGGCCGAAGACGATTGCCTCATCGATACTCCTTTCCTTGATACTATCTCAGGTTTCCATTTATCATCATCATCTGCTCTTCAACTTTCATGTTTCATTGATTTCTCTACATTCTGTACATTTTTTCCCAATGATGCTTGAAATTGATCAATAATGTATTTTTTAAAAATTCTGAACGGAATGGAATTTAATCGGTTTATCACAATATTTAGCTTCCGATTCATTGAGAACATGGAAAATTTTCATATTTCATCAACTTCTATGGATCATTTTTTAGCAAAAACTTTCCAATAAAGCTTCACATTGATCAATAATTATTTTTATTTTCCTGAAAATTTTGGATTTTGTGTATTTTATAGAAATCTGATTAGGCTGTTTTGATGAATATGGAAAGTTAGATGGAGAATTGGAGGAAGACGAGACGAGGGGAAATGGAAGGAAAAAATTACACAAAAGTATGACATGGGATAGCTCTTTCTTTAGTAGTGCAGGTATGAATTCATCGATTTTTATTTTTTACTTGCGGTTAATTAACGCTTTCTAGTTCTAGAATTTCCTCTTTTGATTCTGTTTTTATAGCTTTTCTTGAGCCAGAGGAGTTCTCCGGTCAAAAGGATGTGAACAGATCTCCTGATTCGTGTGGAGCTTCGAAGCGAGAACGTCTCGAGGCTGATTTTGATGAGGATATTGGAGCTTCAATCCAGAAATCTAACAGAGTGTCTGGCAATGCAGTTAAAAGGGAACTGGAAACAAAAGATTCACGGATTATGGCACGTAAGTATAGTTCGTTTTTGTTCGACTCTTGCATTATTTTAATGCTGATGCACCCAATGGTTTGCTTTGATGCCACAGAATATAATTTCAATGGATATTGATTCATCTTTAGATGTGTGATTTGATGCACCCAATGCGTCATTTATCTATGTTGTACCATTCGTTTTTCTTCAAATACATGCATCCAACGCATTCTCAAACATTAATACAAGGATATGACTCCTACAAATGATACACGAGTCCAAATAACATAGAATTATATTAAATTAGTTCATATTCGTCCATGACATGCTTCTTTTTATAGCTTGTTAGCCATGATCGAAGAAATATCTCAAACTGAATGCCCAGTCTTTTTTTTTTCCAGCTTCAAAGAAGTTAGAATACTCTAATCACGACAAGGTACATTCAAGAAATGGATACCACTGTTTCATTTCTTAGTCCCTTTGTTTTGTTTCTCCAATGACATTGCTTTGCGGTTTCAGGGGAAGCAGAAAGCCGCTCCTAAGAAGCCAAATATAGCAACGAAAGATCCTGGTAAGACAATGAAACAGGCTTCTGCCCGACCACAAACTTCTCAGGCATGTATTCTGCGTATTAACATTCAATTATTGCTTCTGTTGAATACTCTTTACCACATGAGTTATATCACTGCAGATTCTGATTTTATTTTTCGTTTTACAAACACCGAATCCTATAGACTGTTTGTAGAAGAACGGTATCAACTCCATCTCTTCGTAAGCCACTGAATGTACTGGCCAGGAGGGCTTCCTTGGGTGCTAAGGATTTCACAATGGAAAAGGGTGCAAAAAGTCCGACGGGTAATTCATATTACACCTTTAGATTAGGATCTTTGAAACAAGGATGTGGTCGAGGCGGTTTAGGACGGATCTCACTTTCTTGATCATATTTTCTGTTTGATTTCCATTTATCTGTTGTAGGTAGAGGGACCACAATACCAAGGACTCCTTCGGATGGTTCAAGAAATATTTTGCCTAGGACTCCACGATCTTCCAGATCTTCTACCCTATCTTCCTGTAATTCTTCCATGGATACGATTAGACAAAATAATGACTCCGGCTTAGTTAACTCATCTTCCTCCAGTTACACTTCCACCAATGCATCCAAAAGTGCAGCCAAAGGTAAAAGTCGAACAGGACATTTGGTACTCTCAACTACGTTGAAATCTCCTACCAAGCCCCATTCCAGTAAGTCGTTTGCTAGTAGCTCACCCGGTGAATGGTCCTCAGAGGGATCGTTATCATCACCAACCTCTACTGCTAATAAAAGGTTTAATGTTGTAAGTGCTAGTCATACTCACCAGCCTTCACTAGGAGATGGTGATGAGGTTACTGGTTCACTGGATGAAAGTGAAAGCAAAGCTTCAGATGGAAGTACCGGATTTCTTCATCCAGCTGAGATAAAACCCTCAGGCCTTCGACCTCCATCACCAAAATTTGCCTTTTCCAATGGGGTTAGTTCGTATTTCTAGAAATTTCTCTGTACCGTATGGGAATTGACTTTTAGCTAATTAATATATGAACAAATTTTTAGCTCTAGTTAGCTTTGCTGGTCAATAACCAATGAGAAATTGTGATGAATGCAGGTACGGTCATCCAGACACAATCGAACTCGAAGTGTACCCTCCCTCCCAGTTGTACTTATTGGCATGCCTAAAATTGAAGAAAAAAGCACTATCCCAAGTGGTGGCTCAAACAAGGCATCTCCTAGAGCTCTTCAAAGATCAACAACTATTGCAACAAAGGCACAGAGTGCTTCAAGAAACCCTAAACTAAGCTCTGGCATGTCCCCTAAACTTCAGAATAAAATCTCCCAAAAAACTGGCAGAGAAAGTTACTCAAAGGCTCAGGGTATTCGTTCTGCAGAAAAAATCTTCGGTTCAGATTTTCCAAAGCTCGTTGTGAAAATAGGAGGCAAGGATGGCTCTCGAATTAAAGATACCAAGGTCGTTCCTCTTACAGTACCAGAGCACTGATGATCTATCTCCTGAGTCTGAGGTTCTATACATTATCACATCAAAAGAAGCTCCTAAAATTGAGACAAAACACTAATGCATCATACGACTGGTAAGCTACTCCTGAATATCAGCTGCTGATATAAATTCGAACACTACAAAAGAACCCATAACTGATTTTTATCTTGCACTCCTACAGTGATTTCTGAAATTACTTCCGGCTTAAGGATACCAGTTGAAGTTCTCATTTGGATCAACAATGCACTTCAAGAGAGACATCCCAGAGTTTTTATGGTACAACCTCTCCGAAATATACTTGTTGAAGATTCTAGCCCCTATGAAAATTTGTGAGTTCTAAACTGCAAGTTATTCGAACCCGGGCATAAATATCACATACTACTAGTATGTTGATGAAACAAGTATGTTCAACATTTTAAAGATGTATAATGTATTGAAAGGGCTGAATGGTTGTATCTATGTCCTCATATATGGGTATTAATTCTTATAATATTTTATGATTAGAAGAAACATAAACAGATCTAAAAAATAAATACTAGAATCCATACAGCATGTAGAAGAGAAAACAGCATGCAAAAGTACCAAAATCTTTTTCGATTAAGATGACCTCATAAGTTCGATAGGATATCCCGAAGGCACACAAAACGTTGTCTGGAAAAGCTTCAGAGAAATAAAACGATGTCGGTTTTAAGAAGTATAAAGAGTCGCCTAGCAAACTTATGATCTTGGCTTCTCCTCTGAAGAGTGCCAACTGTGAAAGTCTAGAGACCTTCACAACCTTGAATCTAACACCAGGAATATCACCGACGGCACGACCCTTTCTTCCGAATCCAGCAATCAACACCTCATCCTAAAGCCATTTATTACCATCAGAAGAGAAGCAGGGAAAAGGATGACAATTAAAAGTTACATGAGTTTGATCAACACTCACATTTTCTTCGATGTAATTCAAGCAACCATCATTTGGTACGAACGCCGCAATCTTCTTTCCATTCTTAATCAATTGAACTCTAGCACATTTTCTAATGGCAGAGTTCGGCTGCTTAGCCTCGATACCTCTGTCATGTTTCGAAGCCATCAGTACAGTAATTGGATCGGAGTTTAACGTAAAAATGAAGAGGAAATAGAAAGAGCCAAAGTCTTACATCTTCTCAAGGACAACGCCATTGGCATGGGAAGAACCAGCAAATGGCTTCTTCCACTCATTTCCAAGGTTGGACTTCTTGTATGCCTTGTCAGCCTACCGCTGCCTCAGTGGGTCCTCAGCTTACGTCCGGGTCCCATTCCATGTCTTCCTGAAATAAAGCATGACCCATATTATTATTCTTTTTTTTTTCTTTTTTATTAAGCTAAAGTGATTACAAAGTAGTATTTTTTCTAAGTAGTCTCAACCATTTGACAAGCTCATGACCTTTACGAATAATAATGATTTCTTTAATGACGCATGTTCTCTAATTTCTCTTTGAACTATTCGTGTCCAACACATTTGAATATTACTGTATATGACCCTCCAAGTACATTAAAACAAGTTTGAAAACATTGAAAATATCCTGCATACGATTGTCAAAACCCAAGTCCGAATAACATAGTATTAAAATACCCATAGGATAACTATTTGCACCAAAATCTACATCATAGCTAAAAGAACATAATTAGCAAAGGACTGAAAGACCCAAAACCCAGATTAAAAAAACCAACAATTCTCATGAAAAAACCATTTCAGGAGTAGCTTAAACACTTTAAAGGGAAAAAGAAACACAGACAAGCTAAGCAACAGAGAAGAAATGCTATGATTTAAGCAAAAATTTACGAAGAAAACATACCCCATGTTGGCTGAGAATGAGAGAGATCGTTATGGATTGAAGTTCTAAGCAGGAAGGAGCAGCCGCTAAGTGCTAAAACTTTAAACCTTCAAGAAGCTTAAACATAGACCCCATGGTGCATATATAACAAGATAACATGTTCTTTTAAAGAAATAATAGTATATAAAATTATATTTAAATGATTAATTTTAATTATTTTATTTAAAATTATATAAAAATAGTTATTATCATTTAAAGATTATTTTTTAAATTTATTATTATTAAATAAATATTTGGTTAACTTGTAACACCAATTAATTAAATATTTCTAGATGTTTTGGCTTTTAAGAGTTATTATAGTATATATGTTAAAACAGTCCAACTCTGTTATTAATCTTAAGTTGTGCTTATAATTTATGTGTTTTAATGTAATCAATTTTTGTTTTTATAGGTTTTGAAATTTAAATTTTTTTAAATGATTTAAATTGTAAAGGATAATATAACAAAATTATAAGAGATCTGAATTAAATTTATAATTTATTTATAATATATTGACTAATAAGAAATTTTGATTTAAAATATTTAATAATGTTTAAATTTTAAAACTTGGAAGGTTTAGTGTTCAAATCTTGATATATTTAAGTAGATTGGATTAAAAGGATTTCCTTTATACTAAATTATTATAGGGTTAACTATATGATTGATCACTTATGTTTATGTTTAATTAAGACGTGGTCATCAAGAATTAACTATCGTTAAATATTTTGGTATAATCACATATTTGATCCTTTTTATTTACATATTTTCTCAACTTAATCATATTTTTAATAAATTAAAATAAATTTAATTCTCCAATCAAATGATTCACATGTCATTGGTGTCACATGTCGTGTCATGTATCATCATTGGTTGGAGGACTAACTTTATTAAAATAGATATATTAAATTAAAATATATATAAATTCTCCAATCGAATGGTGATCATATATTAATTAAATAAAAAAATGACTAGATATTATGTTTTTTTGAAATCGGTGAGAAAAAATGAATAAAACACAAACATTAGTGATTAATCATGTAGTTACTCTATTATTATAATATCAAAATTAAATTAATTGGTAATAAATTAAATAATTATAATTGTAGTCAAATCAGAATGAAATCAAATTCAAGCAATTATAATCTCCCATTAAACATATAAGTTTCATGCCATTTTTTTTACATTCAATGCATTAAAGTTTCTGCAGATTTCGTGGGTATTCCAAATATATATATGCATACGCTCTACCAAAGCAAATGGTGTTCTTAGAGGAAAACAAAAATGTCTGAAAAGATCTTAATGGCTGCTTCCATGGCTGCTCTGGTCTGTCATCCCAGTTCCTCCATTAAATGCTTTAAACCCAAACCAAAACCATCTCCCTCACAAAGAGAAAATACATCAAAATCCAACACCAAAAAGGATGTTTGGACCTGTTCTTCACTTCCTAAAACCTTTGTTTTTTCATCTTGTTCCAACATGAACGCAACATTAACACACCTAAATCGTGTCCCTTCAACGAGCAGAACGGATTCGTGTCTGGTTTCGAACCTCTGCCAAAAGGACCCGGCTTTTCGAGTCGTTGAAGCCATGTTCGATTCTGGTTGGGACGGTAAAGCCGGGCCCAAAATCGAGAAAATATTGAAGATCAATCATAACATCGGTGTTCTCAAGAGGTTTGAAGAGTATATGGAGATTACTAAATCCAAGTCTGCAAATATTTCTCGGAAATTGGCTGTTGATGGCAATGAACTGTTGAGGTTCCATGGTGCCACTGTTACTTGTTCCTTAGGTAACAATGAGTTGTCAAGGATTTGTAGCAAGGAAAGTTGTGGGGTTTGCAGAATGGTCCGGCTGGTCGGGTCGGCGGGCGAAGAATCGGTGGCGTCAAGCAACGATAGCCGACGAGCACATCGGAGAGTTACGAAGGAATGCGGTGTTAATAATAAGATTTATATAGGGAAGCCGTTGTTGTTTGCCGAGTAATTGCCGGAAGGGTTGCTCGGTGTTGCCGACGTGAAGGCGGGCTCGATTCGGTGGCGAGTTTGTCTAAAGATCCATTGGAAGGCTCCGAAGAGCTTATTGCTCTGAATGCAAGAGCTGTGCTCCCATGCTTCGTGATTTTATATAATGCCACACACTCCAAATATTATAGATTGCCAAAATCTAGCGGGTCTTAGATTTAATAAATATATTAAAAATAATGTCTTAAATGCTTTTAGGTATGATTATTCTCGATTACAATATTTATTAAATCGATTTAGACAGGATTATGAACAGTTTAAGATTTTTTTCACGAGATTAATTAGAAGCATTTTGAGTGTTTTATAAGGATAATCATAAATTAGATTTCTTCCATTTTTATTTTTGTAAAATTTGAATTCTAGTCCTTTCAAAATCCAAATATTAAATTTTAATTAATTAATGTATTAACTGGATATTCATTAAAAAATTTAAAAAGTGAAATAGTTTGATTTTTGAATGCGTAAGCAGCCTACTCCATAATCATGGTAGATGATAATTAAAACATTCAAATTTGAATATGAGAAAAAATAAGCTTACCTAAATCTTAGAAAATAAAATGAATTTAACATTTGGATTCGTTATTTGTAAATACAATACTCTAAAACCCGTTAAATTTAAAAATAATAATAAACCACGCGAAAAGTCCCTATGTTTAGGGTTTGGCCGATTAAAAATAAGCCATTGATTTTCGTTAACTCCTTTTATTCAAGTCTTTTTTACTTGAATCCCAAACATTAACTCCTTTTATTCAAGTCTTTTTTACTTGAATCCCAAACATAACCGAATGACCAAAATCAAACGGAGTTAACACTAAGAGACTAAAATCGAATAGATCAATAAGGTTAGATATTAAAATTGAACGAGTTAAGAGACCATTTCAAGTTAATTTAATTTTTAAATTGATGACCCTCAGACCCAGGAGACCATCAGCATGAAAAGAAATCCAGATTCAATCTGTTATTCATGAAAATAATCTATTATGTACAATAATTAAAATATTCAACTATAATTACTTGGTTTGATAAGATAAAGCATATTATATTTTCAAAGGAAGAATTTAAGTTTAAACTTCGAACTCAAATTTTTTTGAAGGCGTATCGTATATATTAACTGTACGACCCGACCAGTTTTAAGCAGGAAGGAAGCCTTTAACCTACCCCAAAACCTACAACAATCATTTTCCTGACCTAACAAATCCGAGTGCCGTTTTGGTCTCGATCGAGGCATAAATACTCTTCACCGCACTGGATTGGTCTCGATCGAGGCATAAATACTCTTCACCGGACTGGTTTGGTCTAGATCGAGGCATAAATAATCTTCACCGCACTGGTTGGCACACCAAACAGATAAAAATCCTATCAAACAAGTTATGAAATAAAGAGCTCCACGATAAAAGTACGAAAAATCTGGCGCAAATTGTTCCCTGCAAATCGTTTAATCTTCCACATTATCCCGTATAGTTAAAATCGACTCTCGTTTTGGCCGATGCTTCCTCCACCTTAGCTTACGCATAGCCATGATCCAAGATGGGACCTCACAGCCAGATGCTGACATCACATTAGCTATGTTACGCAAAAACGGAACATCATCTTCTGTGTGGAAAGTAATAGCTTCTCCGGTCCTCCCTGCTCTGCCGGACCGACCTATTTGAGACATCAATTAAACTTTGTTAAAATAACCACACCAAAAAAGAGAATCTATTTCCATCTGTTTAACAAGCAAGGTCTGCACATACCGATTCAATGAATGTAAGCAGTAGCGGAACTGGAAAATCGTAATTAATCACACAATTGGCACCCTTGAAATCCATACCACGGGCAATGACTGTTGTAGAATTCGGGTTAATTTCCACCAATAACAATTCACCTTGAAAACTATTATTTAGGTGACTAGTGTGAAAACGATTGTACTAAAAATCACCCTAAAGTAGATTCCCAGGAAAGAGGAGGGGTCACAATGGTCCCTCTTAAAACCCACTTTCCTTAGACAGAACTACCAAGACAAGTAATTTTAATAGGACAATAATTGACAATAACTATACCCGACAATAGCTATTAAATAGACATAAAAGAGAACACCAAAATATTTCACTAATAGAGGAAATATTATAAAAAGAGAAAGAATACAAATAACCTTTAAAATAGAAGAAGGCTTATATTTGTGGGATGATTAACTAAGGAGGAAGATGGCTTTATTTATAACAAAAGAATTTCCCCTCCTCTTTATAAACAACCAATGTGAGACTTTGCCAAAAACCAACAAATCTCCACCTTGGCAAATTCCACACACATCTCTAAAAAACAATCTTTTAATTTGTAACAATATTGACCAAGTCTAAACAATGTTTAAACTTGACCGCAGTTACCACCTTTTGTCAACATATCAGCAGGATTCTCAGTGGTCCGAATCTTCTGGATTATGACTCCACCTTCTTCTAGAATCTCTCGTACAAAGTGATATCGAACAGAGATATGCTTCGTCCTTGCATGGTAAACTTGGTTCTTTGCTAAATGAATAGCACTCTGACTGTCGCAGTGCACTTTGATGTGCTTTTGTTCCATTCCCAATTCACCAAGCAACCCTTGAAGCCAAATTGCCTCTTCACAGCCTCTGTAACTGCCATATACTCTGCCTCTGTAGTAACAAAGCCACTGTTGACTGTAAGGTGGACTTCCAACTGACTGGTGCCTTTGCAAATATAAACACATAACCAGTAGTTGATCGACGCTTGTCCAAATCACCTGCATAGTCTGAATCACAATACCCAAATACACACTGACCATCTTGTTTGTCCTGCTGAAAGACCAAACCAACATCTACGGTGTTCAGAATATATCGCAGAATCCATTTCACAGCTTGCCAATGCTCCTTTCCAGGATCATGCATATACCTGCTCACAACCCAATTGCCTGTGAAATATCGGGTCTCGTACACACCATTGCATACATCAAGCTACCAACAGCACTTGCATACGGAACCTTTGACATGTATTCCCGTTCTGCATCATCCTTAGGTGACATGGATGCACCGAGCTTGAAATGAGGAGCAAGAGGTGTACTAACTGGTTTTGACATCTCATTTATGCCAAAACGTTTTAGTACCTTCCTCAGATATTCTTTGAGACAAACAAAGCCTCCCCAATTTTTATCCCTTGATATCTCCATGCCTAGAATCTTCTTCGCTTCACCAAGATCTTCATCTCAAACTCCCTGTTCAATTGAGTCTTTAGTTTCGCAATTTCTGTCTGACTCCTAGAAGCTATCAGCATATCATCAACATAAAGAAGAAGATATATATAGGATCCATCTTCTAGCTCGCGTAAATACACACAATGATCATATTTGCTTCTTGTGTACTTCTGCCATATCATAAACTTGTCAAATCGCTTGTACCACTGCCTTGGAGATTGCTTTAATCCGTACAGCGATTTTTCTAATTTGCACACCATCTCTTTTTTTCAGCAACTTTGAATCCATCTGGCTGAGTCATGTAGATTTCCTCATCCAAGTCTCCATGTAAAATGCAGTTTTTACATCCATCTGAACTAGTTCCAAATCCAACTGCGCTACCAAAGCCAACAAAATTCTGATGGAGGAATGTTTTACAACTGGAAAAATACTTCATTATAATCAACTCCTCCGTTTGAGCGTAGCCTTTAGCACCAATCTTGCTTTGTAGCGGATGTTATTCTTGTCAGGAAATCCATCTTTCTTTGCATATACCCACTTGCACCCAATTGCCTTCTTTCCCTTCGAAGACTAGCTAGTTTCCACGTCTGATTCTTTTGAAGGGATTGCATTTCTTCATTCATGGCGATCCTCCACTTTTTATGTTTTGAACTTTGAACTGCTTCATTAAAAGTGGCAGGAACGTCATCAATTGCAATTGGTGATGCAAAAGAGACCATATCAGCATGAGCAGGTTGTCTAATGGTCCTCTTTCCCTTTCTGAGTGCAATTGATTCATGTTGTTGTGGAGGTTCTTGGGTCTGAACCTCTTCTTCATCTGACTCTTCTTCTACCATAGGAGAGTCAACATCAGTTTCTTTACTGGTTGGACAAATTTGCTTCCTTCAAACTCCACCTGTTTGGGAGTTCTATCTGTCTGCTACAATTTTTCTGAAGTCACATTTCTCAACATGATAGATTCATCAAAGGTAACATCCCTGCTGAAGATTATTTTCTTTGTTTCTGGATACCAAAGACGATAGCCTTTCACACCAGAGGTGATCCCCATAAAGATCGCCTTCTTTGCTCTTGGATCCAGCTTTGACTCCTTAACATGGTAGTATGCAGTGGAACCAAATACATGTAAGGAATCATAATCTGTAGCAGGTACTCCAAACCATTTCTCTAATGGTGTTTTACCACCAATAGCAGTCGATGGTAAGCGGTTGACAAGGTGACAAGCATAGACCAAAGCCTCAGCCCAAAATTCTTTGCCTAACCCAACATTAGACAACATACACCGAACTTTCTCCACTAATGTCCGGTTCATACGCTCTGCCACCCCATTCTGTTGTGGTGTACCTCTGACAGTGAAGTGCCTAACAATACCTTCCTCTTCACAGACTTTCAGAAATGGATCATTTTTGTACTCTCCACCATTGTTTGTACGGAGACGTTTGATTTTTCTGCCTGTTTGAGTCTCCATCATCTTTTTTCATTTAAGGAAAAATCCTAGATCCTCATCCTTTGTCTTCATTGGATACACCCAAACTCTCCGGGAAAAATCATCAACAAAGGTGACATAATAGTGTGTTCCTCCCAATGAAGTTGTCTTGGAAGGCCCCATACATCTGAATGAACATAATCCAAAATACCTTTAGTATCATGGATTGATGTTCCAAATTTCACCCTCGTCTTCTTCTCTTTGATGCAATGCTCACAAAAAGCTAATTTGCAAGCCCGAGCACCCTTCAATAATCCTTGATCTATCAGTAATTTCAAGGATTTTTCACCAACATGCCCCAAAAGCATATGCCATAACATGGTTGCTTCTGACTCATGTTCATCAGTAGAAACTGCCACTGCTGCTGTCCCAACAATTGTACTACCCAGAAAGTAATACACATTGTTTCTTTTTCGGATTCCCTTCATTATCACCAGTGCACCAGAGATAATCCTCATAATCCCATCTTTTGCCCTCACTTCTAAACCTTTTGACTCTAAGGTTCCCACAGAGATGAGATTTCTCATTAAATCTGGTACATAATGGACACCTGTTAAGGTTCTGATTGATCCATCTGATTCCTCAAGCGAATTGAACCAATCCAAGTGTGTCAAGAGGGGAATTATTTGATGTGTAGACAATTCCACCTTTTAGTTCTTTAAAATCAAAGAACCATTTCTATTGGGGGTCATATGGTGGCTACAAGCTGAATCTAATAACCATGAACTGGAACAGCTGGTTGATGGCGTAGCAGCGAATGTGAAATCTGAATCTCCATCATCATACTCAACCACATTTGATTCTGAGACAGCCTTCCCCCTTTCAGGTTTGCCTTTATTCTTTACCTGGGACATTCTTTCTTCAGTGCCCTTTTTCTCGACAAAAGGCACATTTATCTTTGCTCAATTTGGACTTTGACTTCGATCTCCCTCTGCTTCCTTTATTCTGACTCTTCGAACGGCCTCTAACAACAAGAGCTTCTGCTTTGACACTTGTGTTTTCTTGTTTGTCTTTCTTTCTCAATTCATAACTATATAAGGCAGCAATTATTTCACTGAGAGACACATCAACCTTCCCATGAAATAGAATAGTTTCAAGATACTCAAACTCATCAAGAAGTGATCCCATCAACATCAGAGCCAGATCTTCATCTTCAAAAGTCACGTCCATATTCATCAGATCAGTCACCAGCTGATTAAAGCTAGTAATGTGATCATTCATAGTGGTACCTGGTACATAGTTGAAGCGAAACAATCTCTTTTTTATGTAGAGTTTGTTCTGACCGCTTTTCTTCAAAAATTTCTCCTCCAGTGCCTTCCACAATTTACTTGCAGAAGTTTCCTTAGAAAATACATACTTCTGCTCTCTAAAAAGACACGATCGAATAGTACCACATGTCATTCTATTGATCCTCTTCTATTCTTTCTCCTCAACATCATCTGGTTTCTCTCCTTCAATAGCAATGTCTAGACCCTGCTGAAATAGGGCATCTAGAATCTCGCTTTGCCACATACCGAAATGACTGGTGCCATCAAAAATCTCCACTGCAAATCTAACATTTGTCACAGCATTTCTTGCCAAAATTGAAGATGAAGAAGCGTCTGCTATTTCTGCTACAAATTCTATTTAATAGCTGCCAATGCGGAATGTCAATTATCCCAAGGAAATTTTTCTGATGTGGAAGATCAGCTTAAACTGCAACCACAGAGCATACTAAAATAAACCAAGAGCGTTGATACCAATTTTTGTGGAATTCGGGAACAATTCACCTTGAAAACTATTATCTAAGTGACTAGTGTGAAAACGATTGTACTAAAAATCACCCCAAGGTAGATTCCCAGGAAAGAGGAGGGGTCACAATGGTCCCTCTTAAAACCCACTTTCCTTAGACAGAAGTACCAAGACAAATAATTTTAATAGGACAATAATTGACAACAACTATACCCGACAATAGCTATTAAATAGACATAAAAGAGAACACCAAAATATTTCACTAATAGAGGAAATATTACAAAGAGATAAAGAATACAAATAGCCTTTAAAATAGAAGAAGGCTTATATTTGTGGGATGATTAACTAAGGAGGATGATGGCTTTATTTATAACAAAAGAATTTCCCCTCCTCTTATACATAACCAATGTGGGACTTTGCCAAAAACCAACAATGACATCACTGGCAATCAAAACCCATGTTTTGCCAGCCCGAAAGTCATTATCAACATTTTCACGCTGCATTCAAATTATAAGATGTCGGGACCAAGTAAATTTAAAAAATTAGAATTCTTTTGTTGGTGCAGGCGGAAAACAAAACAATAACGAATCCAGCATAGTTAATAAGCAAGGAAATAGCCCTTACCTGTATTTCAGATAAGTCAGAATGGATGACACTAACTCTAATATTATCAAATTTCAGCTCTTCATACAGTTCCTTCGCCCGTTCTTTGCTTTGGACAAAGATTAAAACCGGTGAATTCAATTTCTACCGCCAAGCAAGTTAGAATACAAAAGCAAGAATATGGTTAAGACATTCCAGATGGAAAACATCTAAATGGATACCAAGAAAAGAAAATGGATTTTTTATGCTCATATCCTCCACAACTTCAAGCAAAATATTGCTAATGCAATAAATAAAATAAGGGATATTGGTACAACTTATATTGCTCAAAGGCGTTTGTGAGTGTCATAAACGGGCATGTATACAAGACAGTATGGTTAGGCTTTTATTAGGTTTCCATGTATTTGAAGGACCCTTATCCCCACATCCATGCATCAGAAACTAGTCCATGAACAACCGAACACAATTTCTAAGGGTAAATAAGGTGGATTGTCTATGGTATAACATCAGAATGATAGGAAGTGATCATAATTGCAAGAGAAATACCTTTCTCAACATCCATTTAAGCGGCATACCTCTTGAAAACTCTGACGCAGTGCAAGGAGTTTCCCTTATTCAGTTCCAGCAAAAACTAACTTTTGATTAACAGAATCAGAGGCTGTATTCTGGATAAATATAAAAAAGTTAAAGTATATCAAGAGGATTCATCTTCACTGTTGGGAGATAATAATCGCGTACTTACTTTCAGCCAATAATAACTTGAACAGCATCATGCATTATGGTCCGTGCAAGTTCCTCAACAGAATCAGGTAAAGTAGCACTAAATAATGAGCATATTATTGAAGGATTGGAACATGCTTTAACCACAGCATCAATCTGCTTTATCAAGCCAAGCTCAAACAGTTTGGCAGACTCATCCAGGACAAGATATTCAACCCTGAAGAGAGATAAAATTTGTATAAAGAAAGCAGCTTAGATTCAAAATTCATGTTCAACCTTGAAACATTCAGACTGTTCTATCCATTCTGATAAAAACAAAATGTTCTAAGCATAGTTGAGCACTAAAAAACATTCAAATAATAGTTATAATAAACCAGAAATAATCAAAAAATTAGTAGTGTCGAAAGAGCTTTTAAGATCAACTTACCTACATATTCATCCTATTGGTCTCTCTACAATCTAAAATGAGAAAATAAATGTTCTGGCAAGACAATTTATAACCCAAACCTGCTCAAATCAAGTTTCTTTTTCTTGATAGCTGAACGCAAGCGAAGTGGTGTGGATATAAGTATATCACAGTGCAGCTTTGATAAATCCCCACTTCTTATGAGTTTTTTAGTCAATAACTTGATATAAAACTTATTGTATTCTGCAAGTTTTTTGCCCTCTCTGGTTGTCTGGGCAGCTACTCACGAGTAGGACACAAAATGAAAGCTCTAATGCCTTCAGTTGGCGCATGCTGATAGAAAAAGAAAACTTATCAGAAAACTTGGCAATGATTTTTGCAAAAAATTACTAAAATGTACTCAAAGGAAAAATACCTTGAGTTTCATTAGCATGGGTGATACAAAAGCCAAGGTTTTTCCAGATCCAGTTGGAGCACAAGCAAAGCATTCTCGGCCCTCCACAAACAATGAAAAAATGTTTCAGTTTTCAGCCAGTAAGAGACTTTACTGAATATATATAAAGAAAAAACAACCAAATACTGATATTTTTACTGCTTAGCCTAATTGCCAACAAAAAATTAAAAATGCAGAGAATAAAAGTAGCAGTAGGTAAATAAAAGAACATACAGATAGAAGAGAATCGGGATAGCCTGCCGTTGAATTGGTGTTGGCTCTTTAAATTCAAGTTTAGCAAAATTCTGCAATAAGTAAGACTCACATCCATATCTGCATAATTCAAGAAAAGCTCAACTCATGCAACCAAAAGACAAGGTCAATGTCAACTAATATTCTAAAAAGAATACAGAGGAGCACATACACTGAGCTTAACTCCGCAAAACTCTTCAGTGGAGTCGCAACATTATTCCCAGAGACATGAATATTATACTTTTTCCGCAGAATCGAATCAGCCTAATCTCAACATCAAAAATTCAAAATTATGAAAACTATATCAAAGATACTACGTAAAAAGGCGATTCATGCATGGATTTTTAGAAGCAAACCTCCAATTTTCGGTTTAATTTCTTCTTTTATTTGGAAATCATATCTTCTTCCTCATCTGTTTTATTCACTTTACTTAATACCGATGCTTTTATTGAACTCTTAAAGACATTAAATCCTTCCACCGCTTCTATGTTCCAATCAATAAAAAAAACAGAATATGAGATTCAATATATCAGCTAATAAACTAAAAAAGCAAAGGTAAAAGGAAAAGAAATACCGGAAGCTCCTTGTTTACGCTTTCGTTTTTTGGTAGAAACCGTAGCTTCCTCCGAATCTGGATTTGCACGTTCGAACGAGCTCAAATAATCGAATTTGTTTTCAGTTTCTTTTTTCTCCTAAACGAAACCGAAGAGAATAAAATATTCGAATACAAACCGAACTCCATAGTAAAATTGTGAAAGAAAAAAAGTGAAGAAGAAACACACCTTAAACCGGGCGATCTCGCTGGTGTACTTCTTTTTGTTGAAGCTAGTTCCGGTGAACAAGAAAGAAGCGCCGTCTTCCATGATCGGAACTGTGAGAGCTCTTTCAAATAAGGCGGCTATGGTGAAGTGAGGGTTTTTATTTTTGTTTTGGGGTTTAACAATTTAAGTTCGCACATTATCTCTCGTTTTGGCGGCAAAAGTACATAAAAAAGGGCGAAATAATTTTAGATATGTTTTATTTTTGTATTTTTTAACAATGAGGGTTATTTTTGTATATTTCAACAATGTACCCTAATTTTTTTAATTATATTCAGATAAGTCCATCACCTATTCACCTTTGATTTACATATCCAAATAAGTCTTCTAGCTTTAATCTAGTCAATGTATACCTAAACCCTAAACCCTTTAACACAAAAAAAACACTTCCTTTAAAATAAGGAATTACTTGTTTTCAAATAAAGAGTAAAGACTTACTTAGGTGTAAAATAAATACAAGGGTAAAATAGAAAAATGGTCATCCAATTATAGAATATTATTTTATTATATCCCTCAACTATTAAAAATTACAAAATAGTTAACTATAGAATGTTGCTTTGTTAAATCCTTCGATTATTAAAAGTTACAAAACAACAACTTGACTATTCATTATGTTCCAAACTCGTCTTTTTTCGTTAAAAAGATTTAACAATTGTTTAACATTAACATGATAATTAGAAATATAATAGTCTTTTGAGATTTTGAGAACAAGTTTTATTATATCACAATCAACAAATTAATTCATTTAGAATATCGTCCATTTTCTATCAAAAAGGAATAAGTTTGGAACATAATGAATAATCGAATGATCATTTTGTAACTTTGAATAATTAAAGAACTTAACAAAACAACACTCTATAATTAGAAAATCATTTTATAACTTTTAATAGTCAATGGACTAAATAAAGTAATACCCTATATCCGAGGGACCATTTGCGTACTTTACCTTAGATACACTAACTTAACTAAATAAAATAATAAGCTTGTTTTAAGTATATATTTTGATCAATAATTTTATTAGTTCATTTGAACTTTACCTCTTATTTTATGGTTAATTATATTTTAATTCCTGATTTTAAATTCTAGTTTCGTGCCTATAAATTAAACAGTCTTAATTCTATTAGTTCATATAATAACTCGCTAAAGTACAAGATCTGATTCGAACCCTAACATTTATATCTCTTCATCGTCTGCAAACTGTTCATGTAGAGGGAAATGTGGATATCTGGGGTATAAATTGAACCCCGTTTTAAACCAATTAATTCATGCAGTTGTTCTTAAAATGTTACATCTAATATATTTAACATTCCAACTACGAAGAGTGTTCTAACATTCAATCAATTGAACCCCGAGGTGTGACTTTGTGGCGCATTTCAGCTGCCACGTATGTGCTCTTTGCCAAGTAGGCTGCGAGCTTCGTTCAAGGTTACCTCGATGCTCCTGCTTCCTTCCGGGTACCAGACCAAGGCCCGTTAACCCTCACTGCTTATCAACATGTAATATACCAAATTTATATTTATTTTTTAATAGGGATTCAATAAGTTATTAATTTTATCTAATATATATATATATATATATTACTTTTAGTAGAAGCTTTAGTGCTTTACATAAAAGCCACAAGATCAAAACGAAGAGAACCACACTCAAAAATGAGGTTTTGTTGACTCAAATAAATATATTATGGAAAATTTTCAAGACCACATGACAAGGAAGAGCCATGTGTAAAAACAGGTGTCAATCTCCCGATAAGAAAATTAGCTGGCATGGCAGCAGTGATTCATCGTATGTTATTCCTTTCAAGTGTCTCGGCTTATCAGGAAAATGAAAAAGGAAAAATAAAAGGGATAAAATTACATGAAAGACGAGTGTAATTTCACAAATAACAAAGAATCCAACTAAGGGATAAAATTACATGAAAGACGAGTGTAATTTCACAAATAACAAAGAACCCAACTTTATCCACGTTACCCATTCGGTCACATTTAATGAAGAAGGGTTTCTTAATCAAGATTTTATTACTTTCAACTTGAAATGACATCTATAGCCCTGGCAGTTTATACATCATGTTTTAAAAAAATTTCAATTGAGTCTTAATTCGATTGATATTATTATCGTATTTTAAATTTAAAAGAATAGAACATGAAATAAAACGGTAAACAACCGGGGAAAAAGAGATATCAGTTTCAAAGCTATTATGTACCTAATATTATACAAATGAACTGGTCTCTTATCTGGTTTTATCATCCCCTATTTTCTCTCTCACTTCAAGGAACGAATTTATTCTCAATTCTTAAAGGCTTCAAGTAATTGAATCAGATCTCCAGCAGTGAAAACATTTTTCTGGTAATTCTTAGATTTTCGAAGGATTTTTTTTGTTTGGATTTTTTCTTATTTTTTAAGTTAAAAATATATAACCCAGCAAAAAAAATATTAAGTAAAACTATCAAATGCAGATTACACTAAGAATCTGTTAAGATTTCTTCTTTTTTCTGTTGCTGATATCTTTTATCCCCTAGACAGAGAATTCATAGCCAGTGAATCATTTGCTCTAGAAAATTTGTTTGAGATCTATCAGTTTAATGGGCTGTTTCTTGAAAGATATATTATATATAGGGGTTTAAGGATTCTGGGTTTTTTAGGTGCTGCTTAAACCTCAAACAAGACACTATTGTTACTGCCCTATATTAGATATGCTGATTACTTTTTCATTTTACCAGGCAGAAATAGGTTCAATAAAATGAGGTTAACGGTGAAAGGGAGATTACCTCGAGCAAATTGCCTCTCCGGTGAGGGAATATAGCTGAAACCTTGAACAAGGAGTGAACGGGATGAACAAACAAGGCCAAGAACCACCACTGAACCATGCTGGAATGGAGGAAAATCTGATGTTTCGAGCAGATTGTATGGAGCTCGAAAGATGCACCTTTGGGTTTGCTCAAGAATCTCAAACAAATAGAGTAATTGCATGTTCCGATAGTTTCGTTGAAGTGAACGAAAGCATTGATTACAATTTGAAGGCAGCTTCGGTTGGGAGTGAGTGTATTTCAGGTGGTACTACTGTGCCTGGGCAATGTCACCTGAACCTGACTGCACTCGCCAATTTTTCTTCTGCAGATCTATCTGCTGCATCTTCAAGTGCAGCGTCAGAGGGAATCGAAAGACACCATGCTGAATGTGATTCTGCAGGACTCTTTCCTGTGCATTTAAATTTTTCAGCTCAAGACAGAACATGGACTGAAGGCAATTGCACGCCAAGAAAACATCGATGTAAGCTATTTTCATTTCCAATTACAGCATCTAGTTGTCAATATGTTGTGTGAGAGTCAAAAATAGTGTTAGAGAGAAAATATGAAATCGAAATAAACAAATTAACAATGGAAGTCTAGCAAGATGGATGACAATGGAAATGTTTAACATTTCTGTAACTTCTTCAACAAACAATTCTTTTTTTCAAGAATTTCTACACTAAATGCCTTGTTTGTTATTAAATATTGAAAGTTTGGATTTTGTAGTCAAATCACATTAATGAGGTTAAACTTACATTGTTTACAGATGTCATTCCTCCGAAAAATCTATACGGTTATGACTTTAATCTGCCTGCTGGGTTGAGGGGAGCATTCTCTCCGACGGGCATCTCTGATTTTGCCCCAATCACACCAGAAAAGGCCCCAAGAGCAGAACCGAAAGAGGTTTCAGAAATAGGAAATTTATATGTAGAGATCAGAACTGAGAAGATAGATGAGCAAGCAAATGAGCTGGTTGATGTTAGAGTCGATGTGGATGGAGTTACATGCAGTAAAGAGCTCCAAATGCCTGTTTCAGAGTCATCCCTGACAACTATACTGAGCAAGGAAAATCAGAATCCTGAACATGGAGATAGCCTTCTTTCTGAACTAGAGATTACAATACCGCAGCCGAAACAAAGGAACAGAAAGCACAGGCCTAAGGTAATTACCGAGGGCAAACCTAGAAAGCCTAGAAAGCCAGTGACTCCTAAGCCTGATGGTCCTCAAGAAACCCCAACTGGTAAGAGGAAATATGTACGAAAAAATACAATAAAAAGGGACACATCAACCCCCCCTGGAGAAGCAAATGCAGAGAAACCAACAGGAAAGAGGAAGTATGTGCGAAGAAAGGGACTCAACAAAGACTCCATGGTTCCCACACAAGAAGAAAGTGGAAAGGGGACTACTCATCCAGAGACCATCGAGCATACTAAGAAAACGTGCAGAAGGGTCTTAGATTTTGACACAGAAGGACGAGGAAGAGATGAAACTTCTGCAGGCAAGCCAGCCAGTAATTTAAGTTCTAGTTCAGGGACAGAAAACCTGTGGAAAGAAGGAAGTCAATCAAAGTCAATGATTCAGCTTTCTGGCAGAATTGAAGTGACAGCAAAAAAGACAGAAACAGGCATTGCCTTTGAACTAAACCAATCTGTAAATCAAACACTGAAAGATTGCTCATCTTTTTCTGAAGATCAAGCACCGGGTACACCAGTTCCAACCAAGAAGACTCCCGCCCATAGCAGAGGAAATACTCATCCCCAGAAGCTCAATAATGAGGAAGGAAAAGATAAAGCCACTGCCCATGATGGACTAAAAGTAAACCAACAAACTGTGTTGGAATCCGAAGCTCAGTTGCCAGCAAGAAGCCCGATTGACACTAAGTACAGAAGCAGCTTGCTACCAGAGGGAGGACAAGCAAATAAGTCAGCAGCCACTCAACAAACACATACCAGTGCAGTAAATTCATATGGGAGTCAATACAATAATTTTTCTGCATACCAGATGATTCTAGGGATGCAATATCCAAAAATTCACAGGAGAAAGAGAACTGATAAAGAACAAAATTTGGCCGCATCTAGTGCATCATCATCCATCACTGCTGCAGAAAATCTCACTCCTGCATACACACGTCTGGAAGATAAGGGGGAACTAAATACCGACGGTGTTGTTTCAACAAAACTTGAAGCAGGAATAAACTTTTCTCTGAATAAGTTGCAAACTTTTAATTGCCTCGTAGCTCCAAATCAAACAGAGAGTCCA